AGAGAGAGAGAGAGAGAGAGAGAGAGAGAGAGAGAGAGAGAGAGAGAATAGAGACAGGCAGAGAAGCAGAGAGAGAAAGAGAGGGAGAGGGAGGATAGAGACAGGCAGAGAGGCAGAGAAGCAGAGAGAGAAAGAAAGAGAGAGAGAGAGAGAGAGAGAGAGAGAGAGAGAGAGAGACAGACAGACAGAGACAGAGAGAGAGGAGGTGGGCAGGGCCCTTTTAGAAGGGAACGTAGTGTTCACAGGAGGTGCCCTTAGTGGCTGCAGCTGAGGACATAACCTGCGAGGACCCCAAGGGCAGGCCAGCACAGATGCCTGAAAACTAACATCTGCAGTATGTGTTCTATGGTACAGAAATGACTAAAAGAGCAAAAAATTATCCAGGGTATTGCAATTCCAAACTATATGAAAACATTTTGTATTTAGCAATATTCATTAAATTCTGAACTGACAGTTCAGCACGTGACCGATGTTTTATAAACTGCAGGGCCCGACAAGAGCAAACGCAGGTTGAGCTGCATGTACCAGACCCTGCCTGTGTTCATGTGCACATTCTGGACCCATCCGACATCTGCACAGACAGCCGGCGCAGAGGATGCTGTGCGGAGCGTTCTTCTTACCATCATCGAAGGTGTCCACCAGTTGGCTTGGATTGATCTCGGCTCCACCGATCAGAATGTTGTCCAGCGCCCACTGCGCGCGCTCCACCCCGGCAACCACAATCCCGTTGCTGATCACAAAAGGCTGCCACCAGCGGAGCCGAGTTGTATTGGTGAGGGCGTCCTCAGGAAGGAGGATGTAGTCATGCCTCACAGAAATGTATTTCTGGAAATCCATCTCGTGGAGCAAAGTCCAAGTAATTCCTAGAAAGACAAAAATTCTCAGTGCAGTCACGGCTGGAAACAACCCACAAACCAGCGTCACATCGCAAGTTCAATACGCTTCCCACAGAAATCTTTATCCAGGCACAGCAAACTGAACCTGATGACAGCTTCAATACAAACTGATCATAATGGGAGGGTGTTTAGACATGCTTGATCAAAGTAAACATATTGAAGTAAAATGATAACATCTATCTTTAAAATTCAGCTCTAGATTCTTAAGAGCTATTATTTAAAAAAAGATATACTCATGTTTCTAGATAGCAACTTCTAGTTTTAAAAATACAGCTATTAAAATTCTATATAATTTGCAATTATTTGGACCGATAAGAAGTTGGCCTTCTTGGTAGACTGTGGGAAAAATGTTTAAAACAGGTGATGGGGTTGAGACAGCTGATACCCAGCTGCTGAAACATAGTTTCTTCTGGAAGACATGATTTTAAACTGCTTTCAGTTGGAATTGTTTTCATATCAACAATCTTGTCAAGTTGCTTTACTTTTAAAGACTTATTTATTTTGATTTTGTGTGTGTGAATGTTTTGCTTGAAGCCAGAAGAGACTGTTGGATCCCCTGAAACTGGGGCTGCAGATGATGGCGAGCCACCGTGTGGGGGCTGGGACTCAGCCTTGGCCCCCCCAAAGCACCGAGTCCGTCTATTCAGCAACTGTTTCCAACCATTCCATGGTATCGATGGCCTGATAGTTCCTTCAAAATAATACAACAGAATTTTACTAACAAGGTTTTGTCAATTCAGGATCTTTTCTTTGGGGAAGTTTTCTTTTACCCCTCTGGTATTTATGTTGTCATCGACACAAAAAGGGTTTTAGAACTTTGTTTCTGAGACAGGGTCTGACTATGTGATGCAGGCTGTCCTACAAGACCAGGCTGGTCTCCAATTCACAGAGATCTGCCTGCCTCTGCCTCCCGAGTGCTGGGATTAAAGGCATATACCACTTTGCTGGGCCTAGGATTCCTTTGAAATCCTATTTCACTCAGAACATCATTCAAAATTTGTTTTTTAATTCTCTTACAAAAAATTCTATTTTAAAAGAGGACATGGGACAACCAGGGAAGAGGTATGTTAGAGTACGTGGGTGGGGTGGGAGGGTGGGGGTGGAAGGGGGATGGGAGGTGGGAGGGAGTGTGGGGAGGAAATGGAGGGGGAGAGGTGGGTTGTGGACAGGTAAAGATACACCATATCCAAGTATTTCCTAGAATAAATGAAAACAAATTCTATTAAAAACCCTTTTATTAGCCGGGTGCTTGTGGCACACGCCTTTAATCCCAGCACTCCGGAGACAGAGGCAGGCAGATCTATGTGAGTTTGAGGCCAGCCTGGTCTACAAGAGCTAGTTCCAGGACAGGCTCCAAAGCCACAGAGAAACCCTGTCTCGAAAAAAAAAAAAAGAAAAGAAAAAAAAAACCTTTTATTTTATTTTTTAATGGGATCTCTCTCTCAACCCCTTGTGGAAGGGCAGCTTTTGCCTAAAAGTAGTCCCTGAATAGGACGCGCAACACGAGCTGGACATGCTGCTTTGCAGTGGAGGTCTTCATGACTATGACCGCCAGCAAAGCTCGGCAGAGACGTTTCTGAGGGGCGCGGGGTGGAGCGTGGGCATGCGCTCTGAAACAGACCTCCATCCTTGGAGTAATCCAGCAGTACTCCTTCCTTCCGGCAGACGGGCCGATGGCAAGAGGTCATGTTGTTCTCGCTGCCGATGCGCCCCCAGTACTGTAGGAACCTAAGCGAAAGCGCATATACTCTGTCAGAATGGCGGACCAGAGCGCAGAGGCCGCTCAGGGGCTGAGTAATCGCATCCACACGTGTTCAGCACTCTGTGTGGCGTGAGTCTGCAAAGCTGGGATAGAAGTCTGAGAGTGTGACTTACTTTGCACCTCTGAGATCTAAGTCTTGAGTGATAGCCTGTCTCACGGTGGAGCCCCCAAAATAGAGCGCGGTGTTCTCGGCGAGAATCCCACACTCCGTGCAAGTGCTTCCGCCTTCTAAGGACATCCAGAGGTCAGGCTTGATTTCCTCACTGTCAAAGCGCTCCTTCAGGAAGGTCTGCGGAGTTCCATAGAGAGTGGTTAGACAGAACAATTTCAGGTAGAACGATGGTACTTTATCTAATCCACTTGCTTGGACTTAGAATAATAGAACCGATTTCAGAGTTTTTTCAAAGATATGTTTGAAAGTCAGAAGGTTATGCTCACAATTTGACTTTCTACCATTTACTGAAGATAATTTAAACCGATTAAATAAAAATTTAATACTCAGACTTTTATTTTTTTAACTATGAAATACAAACTTTTATTCGAACACACATTAAAACGTAGATTCAAAGTCAACGTGTCATTATCTTTTTAATATAATGTTAGTAAGCGCAGAATCAGAGTAACTTAAATGATGGCTAGATTCGTGAAACAATCTTTTCCTGTTCAGAGACATCCAGCTGTCCTGGAAACATAATACCTAAAACCAAACACATAAATACTGTTTCTTATTCACTGGCCTTTAAGCTCTGAGATTTTATTTTATCCAAAGAGTAAATATAATAAATATCAACATGATTTTATCTGATGATTAGGGGACATAGAGCTACAACTGCAGTAAAAGCAGTCTCTATATGCACCCCTGTCTACATGTCTCCAGTTCTGTAGGAGGATTCTGTCTCGTGCAGCTAAATGTTTAAATAAAGTCTCATTTGCTCAAACTCGCAACAATCAGCCCTCTAATTAAAGGCATGCAAACATAAGCCAGCCTCACTTTGCTTCACTAGTGGTGAGAAAATGAGCACGGTTTTTATAAATGATTGTTCGTATGCAAGAACACGAGCCAGAAATGCACAGTTAACCGCACATGCCCTCATTAGAGGACCGAACTGGAGTTCAGTATGATTTCTTCTCCGAGAGACACTAATGAAATTTGAATGTTCACATGAAGTCTTAGGTTTTTTTTTCCCCCTTTAGACATAAATGAGCAATGTCCTCAAATTTTCTTTTCACTATTTACTAGGTTTCAATTACATGAACTTTTTAAAGGGAGGATCTCCTACGATAATTCAGGCTGGCCTGGAACTCAATGGGAGTCAGGATCACAGTGGGGGGCTACTATGTCTGGCAACTGTACTGTTTCAGCTGAGGCATCTTTCTGCTATTACAATGATGTATGTGCTCTATGTTCTATGGCAATGTGTTCAGAAACCGCATTAACTTTACATATTGAATATAATACCTAATGTGTCAAAAATGACGATGCAGCTACCACGCAGCCACATTTGAGTAGTTAATGAATTAATTAGACCATAAGATTTCTGGGTAAACATTTGAGCACTGTGTCAGCATGCTTGAAAATTCAGTCTGTGGGGCTACCTGTAATATTTGCTTCATTTGATAAGAATAACAACAACACCTTGTATCCGTTAAAAAGGAGCATCTTTAAAAGGGCTAAATACTGACTTTAAACAGTGTTTTGCTTTTAAAGAAAAAAAGCTGGGCACAGTGGCACATGCCTTTAATTCGAGCACTTGAGAAACAAAGTGAGGTGGATCTCTATGAGTTTGAGGCCAACCTGGTGTACACAGCTAGTTTAGGCCAGTCAGGGCTACACAGTGAGACAGACAGGGAAGGGGTGGGCAGGGGGAAGGGAAGAGACAGACAAATGGGGGGACGGACATGCTGGCTACAGATTACTGGCCTCACGTATGAAAACCGGCCACAGGACAGCCTGCGGGTGAAGGGTTCGACGGTACCTTCAGCATGTGAGTTAAGTAGCAGTTTGGCCCCGAGTACCCTGGGTCACAGATGCACTGTTCCTTCAGACAGTCGCCGTGGCCTCGGCAGTTGTCCAAGCAGCCAGGGCCAAGGTAGAAATTGTCAATTGCCCACTGCACATCTGAGTACTTTTGGTAGAACCGAAACCTTACGGGACTGTTGGCCAAAGCAGAGGAGAGAAAAGCAAAAGTTAACGTTACCCAGAGCTATTTTACCGCACACGTGTGCTCCGTGCTTGGGAGACAGAAACACTTAAGGTATTTATTCTCCATGGATGGAATGAGGCAATAAAAATGCTTCCCGACCACTTCCAATTTCCAGTAACGGAACCGTGCGCCGCTTTCAACTTGTGAAACAAATAAAAACCAGCGGGGACTTTTAAGCAAGAGATTATTTTACAGTTTCACCTGTAAATATGAGCCAGATTCCTTTTTCTTGTTCATAAAGTTGAATTTTAGGGTTTGTGTACAAAGTAATGCATCCCATCACGGCGCCGTCTTACCAATGCAACGCTATGCTTTGTGCTCGTTCACCCTCCTCCCTGGCCGTCCTCCCTCAAGCTCTCTCTCCCTCCTCTGGCCACTTCCGTTTCTTCTTCTAGTGATTTCCAACTTCTAATTTGTGATATGTATTTCTCTACCTTTAACTGTCTACACTTTCCTTGGAGGCATCCTCCATGATCTCCTTTTTAGCTTGTGACCCTTCCCCACAGTGCAGACACCAAAGTTTTAAATCGAGGTTCGACAGGTGATAGAAAACCTGCAATGTTTGGCTTATTCTGCTAAGCATAATGATTTCCATTGCATCATTTCCTGAAAATGTCATGATTTAATTTCTCTTGGTAGCTGCATAAAATTTCATCATCTGTCTGTACCACCTTGACACATCTATTCATCATTTTATATGTATAGGTGTTCTGCATGCACACGTATGTAATACTCGTAGAGGCCAGAAGAGGGCCCTGGAGATCCAGTGAGTGCTGGGAACCGAACCTGGGGTTCTCTGGAGGAGCACCCAGTATTCTCAACTGTTGAACCCTCTCTCCAGTCCTGTACCCCATCTTTCTTGGTTCTGTTTCTTCATTATTATGAGCAAGGCATCTACAAACAAGGATTTGCAAGGATCTCTGTGGTATGTTGTTGGAGCATCCCTTTATTATATTCCCTAGAGTGGTATAGTTGGGTGATATAGTAGTTTTCAATGTTTTGAGGAGTCTGCATATTGATTTCTATTATGGCTATGAAAGTTTAAGCCCCAAACAACAATGAATATTAGTTCTTCATAACTTCATAGTCCTCCAGTATCATTTGATGCCATTGCTTAAAAATATATTTTACATCTTATCTTCTATCTATCTATCTATCTATCTATCTACCTACCTACCTACCTATCTATCATCTATCTACCTACCTATCTGTCTATTTATCAACTATCTATTATCTATCTATCCATCTATCTATCTATTATCTATCACCTATCACCTATCTGTCTATCAATCATCTATCTTCCTATCATCCATCTATCTACCTATAATCTATCTATTATCTACCTATCTATCTGTCTATTTATCAACTATCTATTATCTATCTATCATCTATTTATTATCTATCACCTAACTATCATCTATCTATCTATCTATCTATCTATCTATCTATCTATCTATTATCTATCACCTATCATCTATCTATCTACCTATAATCTCTCTCTATCTATCTTATCTGTCTGTCTGTCTGTCTATCTACCTACCTATCTATTCATCCATTTATTATCTATCACCTATCATCTATCTATCTACCTATAATCTCTCTCTATCTATCTTATCTGTCTGTCTGTCTATCTACCTACCTATCTATCTATTCATCCATTTATTATCTATCACCTATCATCTATCTACCTATAATCTATCTATTATCTACCTATCTGTCCATTTATCAACTATCTATTATCTATCTATCTATCTATCTATCTATCTATCTATCATCTATCACCTATCATCTATCTATCTACCTATAATCTATCTCTCTCTATCTATCTTATCTATCTATCTATCTATCTATCTATCTATCTATCTATCTATCATCTGTCTATCATCTATCTGACCTCTGTGTGTGTCACAGTGTGCCTGTGGGTTCCAAGGGTGAACTTCTGATCTTCAAACGTGGTGGCAAGTGGATTTACCCACGGAGCCAGCTTGCATATTTTCATTTGCTATCTCAATGCCATTTTGACCGGAGTGACATGGAGTCTCAAAGCAGTCTTAATGTACATTTTCCTGATGACGAAGGACATTGAAATCTTTTTTCAAATAGTTATTGGCATTGTGTTTGTGTTTCTTCTTTTGAGAATTATCTATTCTGTTCACTGGCCAATTTATTGATTGGATGAGCAAAAGAGCTGAATGCCAGTGGTTGTGGGAGCATTGTGATTGCCGAATTACATTTCTGAAGTTGTACAGGCGAGTGGAGCCTATGACAGTCTTGTTAGCACGCACGCAGCCCGTAGGCACTTAGGAAACAGTAGCTTCTCAATTCCTTGAAGATTATCAATAGTCTCAAAGTAACTGTAGTAATTAGAAAACAATTTTGAAAGGGTGATATAAAAGACAATTTCCCAGAGATTTTTAATTTCATCATTGTTCTTCTATGTCTTCTGGGTAAAAAAAAAAAGCTCTAATTAAGCTTATATTAAAATAAAGTGTATTAAAGAACTTTCTAGGGCGATTTAAATGTTCTGCATCTCCTTTTATGTGGTGGGTGCATGAGTCACATGACAGTAAAAGTTCTTCATCTGAACAAGTGCTACGTTTGTACACTGTGTAAATTATATATAGAATGTATGTGTATACGATAATATGCACACATAAGAGACACACAAATAGAGACAGGGAGACAGAAAGAGAGAGAGGAGAGAGAGCGCATAGGAGGCACAAACGAATCATCCATCGTGGAGTCCCTAGCATGCGTTTTGTCCCACATGACTCACTGAGGGATGATCATTTTAATATAATTTCCCAATCATTAAGTGATTTAGGAACGGCCTAATTTGTACCAATGGGATTCAAGGAGGTGGTTGTTCTGGATCTCTAAGAAAGAAAAACAACCCTCTCTCTCCCACTGGACACAGGTAAGGGAGCATTTCTGGCAGCCATCTTATATTCAATGGGGGACCCTCTTCAAGCAGAGAACAAGTCCTGTGCCATCAGCAGAGGGAGCAGAGAGCAAGACAACGGTGTCCTTGAAATCATTTAAGAATACATAGAATATTGCTATTATATTTATTTGTGTATATGTATGTCAGGATGTGGGTGTGTAGTCCCAGGGATCTCACTCTGGCTATCAGATTTGGCAGAAAGCGTCCTTACCTCCCGGCCATTTCAATGAACCTTAAAACCATTCTTAAATATACAAACCAACCAGTCCTAGAGTCTACTCATCTTTACATTTTTGCTATAGATAAAATGTGTTTTAAAAAAGAGCTTTAATTTCCATTATGTGTATCTGTACACGTTTGTGTGTGGACTTTGTGTACGTGTGTGCAGTATCAGCAGGGACCAGAAGAGGGCAGCAGATCCTCTGAACCTGGAGCTATGGGGTTGTGAGCCATCCAATGTGGGTGCTGAGAACCAAACTGGGGTCGGCTGCTGAGCTGTCTCTCGAACACTAGAATACTTCATTTTTAAGTGAGTCACCGTAGGTTGGGGTCTGAGCCGGTCCAGGAAACTGATGGTGTCATCAACAGGACTGGACAGGCTGTGCACACCGCTCTGTTCAGAGGCTCAGTCCTGCTCATAAATCATGATCTGTTTCAGCAGAAGCCACTGTACATAGCCAGACTCTGTGATTAATCTAGTAGAAGCACGCCTGTCATTTTGCTTAATGCACCTCTTTTCTTAATTTTACAGTGGATGGGAATCTTTGAAATCTCCCTAAATTATCTACAGACTTCCCAGAACACCATTTAATGGCCATGATCACCACTGATCTAGGCTTACTGGGTTTCACTGTGGGTGCAGAACGCAGTGCTCCATGGTCAGAGAAAGATAAGACCCAAGAGCCACCTGACACACATGGCCTGAAGTTAGAAGGTGTGCAGCTAGTATGAGTTGTGATTTGCTCCTTGCTCTCTCAAGGATTCGGGCGACATCTTTATGTTGGATTACAGTCTGCAAGGCCAGTAAGGTAGTTAAGATGAGTCTTTGCATCTGGCTCCGAGGCAAGCAGTTTTTGTTCTGTTCCTACTTGACGGCCCTAGGGTTTAGGAAAGAGGAGGACATGACAGGGCCATTCACTGAGGACCAAGCCCTCAAGTCTAAGGATTACAGAAGTATGTTCGTCATGGTAGTCACCAACCAGGGACTCTAGAGCTAGGGCAGAAGTATGTTCATCATGGTAGTCACCAACCGGGGACTCTAGAGTTAGGGCAGAAGTATGTTCATCATGGTAGTCACCAACCAGGGACTCCAGAGTTAGGTCAGAAGAATGTTCATCATGGTAGTCACCAACCGGGGACTCCAGAGTTAGGGCAGAAGAATGTTTGTCATGGTAGTCACCAACCAGGGACTCCAGAGTTAGAGCAGAAGAGAGCACTTTACCCGTAATGATATATAATCTGATACTAGACAGCAGTCCCCATGTTTGCCTTCTGGATGTTTGTAGCCATGTTTTATTTTAATTTTCAACTTACTTTCCCACTAAGCTTTCAGGAAGTGGGTAGGTGATCCTTTTCCAGCCCTTCGTCGGGAAGAACACAGAAGGCTGTGAGACAATTCCAGAGCATTTTGGATCGGCAGGCAAGCATTGAGGGACTAGGTAGTTCCAGCTCACACCAAAGTCAGTAGAGTACTGCACATGGATTTGATTCTGGGCAATCTTTTCAGACACTTTGCATCCAACAGAGATCTAATAGTCAGAAAATGAAGACTGTCAAGGCATTAAAACCATATTAACATATTTCATCTCCAAAGAATTGGCAGTAGAGGGGCACAGATCCCTTGATATCTACCGCCCTATATTTTCAAGTGCGTTATTTGTTCTGTTGATGAGCAGGGGACATTGGCATGGTACTCAAGGTGACAAAGCGTAGAGAGTGCCAAGGGCATTGTGTAAGGATTTGGGAGAGAAGCCGATACCTGTGCCCCTGCCACGCTGGCTGGGTTCCTGGGAAGGCCTGTGCCCACACTTACAAATGGTTTTGTTAATGGCCTGGCACTTAGGTATGGTAGAACACCCGACCAAAAAGGATTGCTAGCAGCCTTACTGATGTTCCTATTTTGTCATATGATTTATAATTCTCAATAAATCACTTTCGCCTGCAAGCAAGGTGCAGTGAAGCGACAAGAGAAACACAATGCCTCTCACACAGCCACAGCCACAATGTGTCAGATCTGCAGACACAGGGGGATTCGGTAGACAGAACACAGAGGAAGAAATGCTGGCCCAAATGCTCCCCAAAGCTGCTCTTGGCATGAATTCTAACCATGCTGTTATAGTCTGTAATTTTTGTTCCACAGAAACATCTTAACAGCTTCTAGAAAAAGCAGAAATAACCATTATAGATTTAGTCTTGTAAGAAATAATTTAACTTTTGCTTTGCTTTTGAGGCAGGATTTCACTATGTAGCCCTAGCTGGCCTGGAACTCGCGATATAGATCAGGCTAGCCTTGAACTCACAGAGATCCATTTGCCTCTGCCTCCTGAGTGCCTGAATTAAAGGAGGGCACCAACACACCAAGCCAACATCCTTTTTTTTTTAAAAAAAAATTTATTTATTCATGTATTTTATGCATATGAATGCTCTATTTGCATA